TTCATCCAAATATTAGGATGACTCACCTTGATGTGAGCATGTCATATGACATGTTCAAAAGTGACGAGGATGTTGCACCATAGTTTCACCAAGTGATTACTTTGTTGTTTGATGTCTGACTTAAGTGGTTAATATTTACTAATAATATAATTTCTCCAAATCAATGGATGAAAACCCTCATAATAAAAGAAAACTCATTAATCTAAATATATTTAATTTGACGTCCAGATTGAAACAAAACGGCGGATAATGAAGTATATATAGTTGTTAATTGGTTATACTTTTTATGAATGAAGAAGGATCATTATTTCCTTATTGCATTGTTCATTTAGTTGTACGTTTGCTCCATTATTAAACGTTTGTCAAATTAGATTATATGCATGAGTAGTGGTTTTTTAAATTAAACATGTAGCTTGTTGAAGATTAATCAGATTACACACAAAAACTTACGCTTTAAAGTTTCACATTTTTACTCATGTTTCTGGTTCTGAGTAGAAACGTACATCTGACTACATTGATCTCAAGTACTCCTAATACAGTGAAAGATTACCCTTTTTGACCCTAACCTAGTGAGAAAAATAGGTCCCACACATACGTGGGTTGACCCACTGATAAGATTAATGTCAAAGATGTGTGTGATAGTCGTGTTGGGGCTATTATCAATGAGATCTTCAGTCTGATGGGTCTGAATAATGGGTTTCCTGTTCGGTTCGTAGGTCGGAATAGCAATAGGGTAGCCCATTATGTGGCTAGAAATGCCCTTTCTTTGTCTCTGGCTATGTGTCGATTGTATTATTTTTGTGCCTGGGTTGGGTCCAGAGTGTAATTTCTGATCTCTTATCATTATCTTTTGTTAAGAAAAAAGGTTATCTGGTTGGAGGTCACACGACACCGTTTTTCTATTTGGTTTGTGAAATGAGCTTATTTTCATGTTTTCCTCTTCGCCTAACTCTATATTTGGAATTCAACATCTAAATATTGATGTTATATAAGTGTATGCGAATTTTCATTATATGATCCAAATAAGAACTGTTATCTTGATGTAAAGTTATATGTTATTACTCATATGTTTACATGAGATTTGATATAATTTATAAATCTATGAATAATATAATGACTTTTTACATATATCCGAACTAAATCGAGCAGACCATTAACCCTCAACCTACTTAGTCGACCAGACCCATCCACTCACGGAAATTTTCAAAAAATACCACCAAAAAAAAATACCAACAATACCACCAATTTCAAAAAAAAATTCCAAAAATAACATACTTTACCAAAAATTCGGCCCCCTATGACGGTTTATACGAAAAATGCAGAGGGGAGCTGCGGTTTATGTTCCTACCGGATGAAAACCGTGTGGGGTGGCCGCGGTGAGTATTCTGGGGCAAACCGCGGCCCCTCTGCGATTTGTGGCTGATTTTTTTTCCACAAACTTCAAACGATGATAATTCGGGACAAAGGCGATCGTTTGCTACCCCGAACGAGCAATTTTTTGATTTTTCCAAACTTTGGATGGTCATAACTTTGTGCTCCGTACTCCGAAATTCATGACATTTTTTATTTCGTATAATTTTTTAAGGACTACAAATTTTATCATAGTCATAATTTTGGAATGTATGTGGATTTGTGAAAGTTAAGGCAAAGTTATTCCTAAAACAGTAAAACCCTATATGTAACACTCCGGTACTTTAGATTTAGGTTCGACCTTAATACGTGATCGGTTGAATTGACGGTTACGTACTAAGAGTTATAACCGCGGATTAGGAATAATAATAATAACTATTATTATTATTATTACTATAATTATATATATAGAAATTAAAAAAAAAAAGGGGGCCAAGAGGGCCGGGCGGCCCTCAAATAATTCCCCAGCAGCCGGCCATCTTCCCATCCCTTTTTCCCAAATACAAACCCCCGCCCTAATAAACAATTCCCCACCGCCAATCACTCAGCATCAGCCGAGTTCTCAAAACCTATTATTTCCCCAAGATTCCCTAACCCCCCCCCCCCCCCCCCCCCGCCGCCCTCTCAATTTCCCCGGGGAAAAAGAATAAACCGCCACTGTCCCCAGCCCCGCGTGGGCGAGAGGAAAAGAAAAAGCCGGCAGCCGATCCCGTTCCCGACCCCGACCCCATCCTTTTTTTTTTCTAGGTAAGGATCTTGAACCCCTTCGCGATTTCTAAACTCGATTTTGTCGGTAGACTAATCCAAAGCTCGTATTTTTATTAGCGGTGAGGTTGATGGTTCGATCAACAAGGAGATCAACGTCCCAGGTCATCCAACCTAGGACTAGGCACGTTCTAGAGGTAAGGGAACTCGATCCCTTTGAGTTAGATCGATTGATTTAGTGATTTTCGTTAGGATAGAATTCTGGGGTTTTAGCAACAGGCTTTACAGGTTTTAAGTGACAAATTTTGATTGGTCACTAAAGCTGCTGGGAATTTCCAGAAACGTATTTTTAGATGTTTTAAATTGTTTTGAGCCTCTCTGAAGGATGTTTTCTGGATCTAACAATTTTATAAATTGAGCGACGTCTAGGAGATGATTGTAATTTAATTTGGGGATTTTGCGAAGATGTATTTTTAATATTAGAAATTGTTCGAACATTCGTTTTAATTAAATAAAAATATTTCTGATGATTTTATAAGGGTTTGATAATTTTCCAGAGTATAAATACTCATGATTGATGTAGGAAAATTGTTATCCGAATTTTTAAGAAGGTTCAAGTTAGGTGGAAAATTTTTCCAAGACTAAAATAATTAAGAAAAATAGTCGGTTTTGAAGGGAGTAATTCCAGAAAAGTTTTAAAGGGGGTTAAGGGACCTTTGGAGGGAGTTTTGAGGATGGGACTTTGAGTAGAGGGTGTCTGGGTGGATAAAAAGGAGGATTTTAAATCGAGAAAGGTTGTCTTAGAATATGAATTTCTTATTAATAGGTTTCCCCAAGATAATCCGCCTAAGGAGGGGTTTCTTAGTGGAAGGAATTGAGGAGTCATCTTTTCGAGGTGAGTGTAAAGGGGGTAATATCTCAGTCGTAGGTCTTTTAATTTACGCCTTTTATTTCAAGTTATTATTTAGTTAATTTTCTAGTATGCGCGATATGTGTGTGAGGCATCCCACCGCCTGTAAGGGTGGAGGCACGCGTTGTGCTATGTATGAATGTATGTGATGTTTTATGGATTGATTGTATGAGGAACCCCTGGGCGGTTGGGTCACTACTGGACGGCGAGACGTAACGCAGTAGTTGACGGGCATGGACTGGACGTCTAGACATAACGTAGTGCCATTGCCGAGTTTGGGTATGCAACCGGACGACGAGACGTAACGCGGTTGGCATACTAGGGTAGGACACCGGATGACGAGACGTAACGCGGTGGTCCTAGTGTTTTGTGTTTGAGTTAAGGATAAAAGTTGAGAACCTCTATGAGTTAAAGTTGAAAGGAGTAATTAAGAATATAGGTAAGGGAATTCTAAAGATAAGATAGGAGTACAGATCTCTTAGAGACTGTTTATAACAAAGTTTAAAGGATGAAAGTGAGAACGACTTTCGTCTAAGGAAGGGATTCCCTAATAATGTGTTTAGTAAGGAGTTTTCCTAGGGCAAGGACCTTAGGAAGTAACGACGAGACTGACCCCTTCTCACTCACAAGGTCGAGGAAGGGTTAGCAGAGGCGGACTGCAAGAAGAGCCAAGGCAATGCGAGCAGCTGCACCAGCATTGATGAGAAGTCAAGGAACTCGTGAAGAGTCAGAGCTAGAATAGTTTATTTTTCTTGCTACATGGTTAGGAGTGTAAACTGGAGATCCTAAGTTCTTTCATTTTAAGTATTGGGATTGTCATTTGCCCAAGTGTTCAGTCTTTTTGTTTGAAATTCTTAAATAATGTCAGTTTGTTTATTTTAAAATGTGGTTTGGGTTGCTCCGGAGTAACCGGTTTTTGGTTTGAGTTATGGTTTGGTTTTTGAAAAGAGACGTGACGTGTCACCATATATCCAAAAATATTTCTTGTTTTAAAAATTAGTTCCTAGTAAAAGTTGTAGTCCTTCAAATGTTATGCGGAATAAAAAAAAATAGTTTGTGACGTTCGGATTGTGGAGCACAAAGTTATGGACGTCCAAAGTTTTGGCGAAATCAAAACATTGCTCATTCGGGGTAGCAAACGATGTTTTTACTAGACGAAGGTGAGCTTGCAAGATCCCAAAAAATTATGTGAAAAAAAATTCGATACGATCAGATACCTGAAAGTAAAGTTACATTCGTTTGAAGTTTCGGTCTAGGTTAGACATTGATCAAAAAAAATAATGAGCAAACCGCGGGGGGTGTCACACTTTGCATGTTAATCGCGACTACCCCAACGGTTATTACGCCAAGTGAATACAGCATGAGGGTGAAATGAAAATCACGGTACCACCTAGGGCCCTTCTGTAAACCACCATAGAGGACCGCGGTTTTTGGGAAAGGGTGTTTCTGGAAATTTTTTCGAACGGGTGGTATTTTTTTTGTGTAAATGCCACGTTCAGTCATTGTGTTTACGAAAACGTGTCATGTTTGGTTACTGAAAAAAATTAATATCAATGTTGGTCACTCGAATTAGTAAAACGGTACACGTTTAGACATTCTCCGTTAGTCTTCGTTAACACCTTTAGTTAATTACTTTAGTGGCTAATAGAAGTGCTGACTCACCCTTTTTTAACAATTAGTCAATTACTTAAGATCAACAAGGTTTTGGTGATGTGGACAGGCGAAGAGGAGAGAGAGGGATAGAGGTGTTGGTTTGGTTTAAGGACTAGGTTGGGAAAGATAACATGGCGGGTTGGGTTTGGTGATCTGGCGGGTTACAAAAAGGTGAATCATCACTTTTGTTAGCCACTTAAGTAATTGACTGACGGTGTTAACGGAGAGTGACTAAATGTGGACCGTTTTACTAATTCGAGTGACCAACATTGATATTATTTTTTTCTATTGACTAAACATAACACATTTTAGTAAATCCAGTGATCAGACATGACATTTACTCTTTTTGTGTTAATTCTGGAAAAAAAAACCTCCACTTGCTCGACCAGACCAATGAACTAAACTGGGTTGACAATCTTGTGAATGACTGAAAATACAATAATTAGGAAAAGAGGAAAAGCGGAGAATCCATGAATCCACAGATGAGCTGCTGCCTGCTGGTTTGCCTCCGCTGGAAGTTAAGCCTGTGTTTTGACACATTTAGGTCTGCTGACACTTGACATCAGAACAGGTTAGAGAAGCACCGAAGTAGATAAGATCAATGGTAGTACAGAATGAACCAGTTACCAGTAGGCATTAGGGTTGGAGGTTCTAATGGTTCTTGCATTTGACATCATCTGTATAGAACCCCAGGACTAAGTAAGAACTAAGAACATAATAAGAATGTAGGAAGTTTCAGATAAAATGATAAAAGAGGTCGTCATGGCTCTGCTGGCAGATATTGCCGCCATTCGTCAGGTGTCCCTTTCCTCCTCCTTAGCATCCTCAGTGCAGCACTGGTTAGCGGTATGGCAATTAAGTCGTAATCTTTTGGGACCTGCAGAAAGATCAGGGCATATCTCATTTCATCATCATAGACCTTCAAGTTCCTCCAATCAATAAGAATTCGCTTATTCTTTTGCTATGAATTTGATCTCCAGCTCTTGTCGCTATCATTGCAGGAGAAAGTTAGTTACCTTGGGGACCTTTCTGAGCTTCATATTTACTTCATCCAGAGTCTTCTGGCCCTTCTTTGAGTTGCACTTGGAACAAGCAGTAACCTGTTTAAGATGATGGAAGCCACAAAGGTAAAACATCATGGAACCTAGTTCTCATCTTCTCTTATTAGTAGCAGTAACAACTACACGAAACAGCCAAGTGAGAAGGACAATATAATGGGTCATTTAGTTGCAATGTATCTGCTGAATCTCCATATCCTTAAAATCTCTACCCTTCATTTGATGGCAAGTTCTCTAGAAACAACTTTCAAATCTACACTAAGTAAGAAAAGGTCAAACTTGCGAATATATATCGATAAGACAGGAAATATATGGCATACCAGATTCTCCCATTTCCACTCTCCTCCTCGTGAAGCCGGAAGGACATGGTCAATGGTCAGTATCTCACTTGAAGAACAGTACCTATGGGCAATGGAGGTGTTAATTTTCAGGGAAGTAAACATTAATAAACTATTTTGGTTCTTAGCCATGCAAAAACATAGTTATGATGAAGCAAGATGGTTGCGTAGAACAAAGCTCTGGAGGATGATTAGGAAAGGTTAATGGTAGCAAGCAGTTGGAAGTCCATGACAAGATTTTATCATGAACAAACTCCATACATGAACCTCTAGACTCGGTATCAGAATTTCAAGTTAAATTGACAGAAGTTAATAAGAACATGCAAAACTTGACTTCATCATTCAACTGATTAACCCGGTAAAACATCAGTCAGCAGACGACTTACTGGCACTCATAGCCATCACGTCGTAATATACTTTTCCGGCTAAGGGTGTTTTTTATTCTTCGCCTTTTAACCACCTGCAGCAGATGTGGAACCTAAAATGGAGGGACGTATAAGATTTAGATCATCAATTATACATCTACAAGAAGTTTCCAGATCAATGAAAAAGTTAAGACAAAGAGAACCAGGAAAAGCAACAACAACAAAAATTTGTATTTTTAATTCCATACCCTCAATACTGCAGGTATGTAGTATGAACCGCCAGGAGAGTTTATTGTCCGATCATAGTATTCTAACACATCAGCCTGGACATAAGAGAATTAAGAACTAAGAAAGCCGTATTTGCAATCATCAGAGACTGTGTGGCAGGATTTGAGTTCATCTTGGAGTTGGCAGAAAGAGAAAATGATATCATTAGGAAGTGCAGGAAAAACAGATGAGAGGACAAACTAATCAAGACAAGGAATGATATACTGGAGCAAGCTGAGATCTAACATAACACCTTCAGTAATGCTCACTGTGGGTCTCCTCATGGTAAAACCATTGTTTCCATGAGAGAATAACAGCAAAAAAGTGAATTATGAACTTAACCTAATTGAACTTGGGGGATCACATGAGTTCAACCTTCTCCATAGACTCCAAACATATAGCACGCTGCCAGCAGACAACATTGACCGGCCTGATGTAGGACAATAAAATCAGGATTCATGGACAAACAAATCAATGCAAATTCATCAGCTTGGCAGAAAGGTAAAGAAAGAAAACATGGTAGCCCAATTGGGAACTAAACATTAAAGTAAAATTAATCATCAGCCACACTGCCACAGTGAGTCCTCACCAAAGATTTCAACTTCATCATTATAATGTGGAAGCTTTAGATTTTTGCTCATCACCTAAGCCAACTAATCAAGAAGGAAATATATCCACAATCACGATAGTGCATGCTTTTGAGCCTAAGTGTGCCAAATCGACTGCATGCTATGAAATATGTCAAATACATGAGAATGTGTCGAAATAATAGAAGCGGACCATTGAGCTTTCTCCGGCAGGAAAGGACGAGCAATTCCAACAGTGATTCGGCGACGCACTACCAACCAACCAGGATCCACGAATCTTCAAAGCATATTGGCATTCCTGATAATAAATTTATTTCTTGCCTTCGTCCCATTTGTAACTTATGACTCAGAAAACTCCACTAAAATCACCTGTTTCACCTCTGCTTTTGCCCATGCTCAATGTAACATGGGTTCTGCATCCCCCAAATACACCAAGGATAACAACAAAGCAATACAACTCAACTTTGATCTCTAATTGATGTGTTATCAGCCACTTCTTTTTCATTACAGCACCAAAAAGACAACTATCACTACATTGGACTCATATGGCCATCCAATCTCCTGGATTAACGGGTTTAAAACGAGATACCGGCAATACAGCACTTTCCAGTTCTGTCACAAAATTCTTTCGTTTCCACCTCAGGATCAAATTCATACGTATCATTAACTCCCAACGGCACAATGCTTGGGAAGAGTTCCCGAAACCAGCACTTTAAATGACATTCTAAGCAAAATTGCTCCTATAAAACAGAAGTTCAGAACACTGCATGCATTAAGAAACCAAGAATGAAGAATCCAAACGACAAAAGAGCCCATACAAAGAATGGAAATGAAGGGAAGGAATTAGGGAAGGAAAATTTGAGCTGACCTGTATGAGATATCCAAGACCAAGCCTCTAAAGCAAGCCAATTCATCGGTATCAAAATCAGTCTCATAAAAATCATCACTGTCATCGTCATAACTCCCCCCTTCGCCCTCACTCCCACTCCCACTCTCACTCTCACCGTCAATACTCAGCCTTGCTTCTGCGTAAAATTTGCTTCTGGTTCTGGGGTTTTCACTAGTGGAGAAAACATGTAGCTTAGTAGTATCAGAGCCTAAGAAACTGAGTTTCCCCTTGTGGAGCTGAAACGATCTGAACCCATTACCAAACGCACCTCCCACTAGCTTATAACGAATTCCATCGCTGTTGAAAAGCAGTTTCAGGCGCCCTTGTGCTGTGAATTGAGCCATCGTTCAAATTCAGCAACTCCTGCTGAAGTCGAAGAGTATTAGTGGGTTTTGTAATGGAGTGGTCTCGGGTAGATGATTCGTAATTCAGACGGTGTAGTGCACACTTAGAAGAGAAGAGGAGGGAGACATTGTTCGTTGGAAGAAAGAAGTGTAAGAAAGAGAGGGTATGAGTGAATTTTTTTTTTTTTAAATAACTTAAGAGGGTATGAGTAAAGAAAGGGCTTCACGAAAGAAATCATTAAAATATATTAATCATTTTAAGCCATCTACACATAATATAATACGCCGAAGGGAAAAACGGGAGCTCCATTTCAAATTTCCTGCAACGAGAGTGAAAGTAGGAAGGACATTTTAGTCTTCACAATTACTTTTTTATTCATTAAAAAGACACGTACTAGGATTCGAACCATGACCATTTTAAAGAAAAGCAAAGACCATAACCAATCACACTAAGTACATTTGTTGTATCTTTTTAAATTAAAAACATATAATAGCAGGGAGGGAAAAACCCTTTCCCCATTTCAAATTCCCTGCTCGAGGAGCGTTTGTAGGAAGGGTAGAATAGGGAGTGTCAATTTTTTTCTCTTTCCTCTGTGGAACGGGCCAACTTACTGTACACATGCGAATTTAAACGAGCCCAGGAGTGTCACTTTTTTTGTTTAAACCTTTTTATTTCTCTGTGGTGATAAAATATATATGAAAAGGAGTTGAATGCATGGTATCTAATGAGCTAATCGCTAACCATAAAATAAAAGAGTTGAATGGGCATGACCTACATGGGATTTGGCCATCAAGTGAAACAAATTAACATCATTGGTTTGCCATTCTAAAACAAGCTATTTTCTCTGGCATAATATATATTGTGCTATTATTCTATATCTTAGTGGCTAAAATATAATGTATTTTAGAGTTATTCCATGGTTCAACCTCGACCAACCCAATTAGTTCAATTTTTATCATTTCAAATATATATTTTATAATTATTTGATATCATAATGATCAAATTATAGTGTATTTTATAGGGAATCGTTTGGTATTTGTTAGTAAAAAACTAAACATAAAAGATCTATTTAGTTATTTTAAACATTAAAACGATCCTAACTATTTTTAGTTCTTTTTGAATTTCTATGGTTTTATTCCCGAATAAGTGATGTGAAAATGGCGAATTGTAGTCGTCTCTTTTCTTTCACTATTTTTTATTTTCAAATAGAAAGTTTAAAAGTAAAGAATAATTAGAATTTGGCATGGGTCGGTCAAACAGGCTGAATTTCAAGTTTTGGCCCGTTTGTTTTATGCATTGCAAATTTATTAGCATGTTGATGGAAATGGCTTGGAAAAAGAGATATAAGTTGTACCTTTGCAGAAATGTCCTCAAATGTTTGAATGCTTTGTGAATCACTTTTCGTGACTTTTGTGATGGTGTATGTGCTTGACGATTGCGATGTTGTAACTGCTTAATTTGAGAGTAAATCTTTTGATTTTCCCTATGAGTTGTGATACCAGTTCTGGTGGTTGCAATATGTTGTCGTTGTTGGCCTGTAAAAGTTGTTCCACCGTGATGCTAAATACCTTTCTTTCTTTTTTAACAAATTGTGTAGTAGTGCTATGAAACAGGCCACCCATGAACGTGACGCTTATTATGGTCAGTTCTTACTTCCGGTGGTGAGAAATTGTGAATTGAGAATCATATTCGCCTACCGCACTGTGTCTGGCTAGTGGTTGCTTACTGTGCTCTCTAGAGTTATGAAACAGACTACCCATGAACGTTACCCTTAAGAGTCCATAACTTTGCGAAAAACCAAATTTAGGCAATCAAAGGTGGTGGATGTGTGATGATTTTTTATGGCTTAATTGTTTGTGAATTGGATATCTGATCTTTGTATGATTAGAGGGGATGTTTGCTTAATAGAATAATCTATTTTATTTCATGTTTATTTTTAACATGAACTTTAGTAACTCAAAACCTTCGAGACACATATCACCTACTGCATTGTATCATTTTTCCTGGGTGCTTGTTGTGTTGTCAAACTTCTTTGCTGATGCTGCTTTTATACTAACAGCGGAGTTAAGAACCCATGAATGTTTCCGTTTGACACAAACAGGAGGACTTGCTTCTAAATCGTGCACTAAAGATGATTGGAGGAAACATTTCTGTTGCAGTTGATATACTGCAGACCAGAACAAAAGCAATGTATAACATCAAAACCAACCATATGAACTATTAGCATTGTTGCTTTACTATTTTTTTCGTGGTTGAGTCTCCTTCAAAAAATTTAGTTTGATTTTAGAAAATTTTGCTTCTGCAGTCCTGTCTTGCCACCAACGCGTTCAGTAGATGGAGATGGCAGAGGCGAAGCTTATTTTTGTGTTGTTGTTGCTGGTTTAGGGATCGGTTTGTGAAGAAGAGGGAGAAGAGAGGGGGAAAGGGAAATGCAGGAGAGGGGGGTAACTCTTTTCTCCGACAAAAATGGAGTGAAGAAAGGAATTATGATCAATAAGAATATGATTATCTTACATAACGGTCTCTATTCTGTTTGAATTGAGCTTGGGAGGCAGTGATTAGGACGAGCTGCAACCAATTCCTAGTGAGAAGAGAGCTATGAACTGTGATCATGTCTTATTTCAAGTTAGAAGGTAGTTTCAGTATAAGGATTATTTAATTTGACAAGTTGCTTCGTCCATGATTCTTGGTAGTTTCAGTGTCATTCTAGCCATTGTTTAGTCTGTAATTTTTGAGAATTGATGTGCGAGTAATGACTTTCGCTTAGCTTCAACTATTATGTGTGTATTTATTGGCATGTGATAGAAATCTCTTTTCCTTTTCTTTGAATTCAGTTTCATACTCTAATTGTATCATTTGTACATAGGCAAATCATGATCGAGATGACAACTCGCTAATATGGCTGGTGCAAGGAACGAAGCCATCATTAGAATTCAGACCGACAACGGGGAGGGATGCCCAGGACTAATTCAATGATGATTGATGATGGTATAATAAAGACTGCAGTCTGCATCAGCACCAATTTCTAGGCCTAAGTAAAGTTATTCAACCCAGAACTCTGCTTAACGCTAAAAATTTCCCTCACCCAACCTTGATCTTGTTTGACCCACTTCTGAAGAGTCAAGATATATGACTAATCCTCTCCGTTCGTATTTTCTTATTGACTCTTTCCGACCCTTTAGGTTAGGATGGGTCGGGAGGAATCGGATTAGTGGGTCGGTCCTAATCAAGTGGAATCCCAATCCCTTCACTCTCACTTGCTTTCTCTCCCATTCCACAAGTGGGTAGCATACAGTAATCCGGCCAACGGGCCGGGTAATAAGCTAGTTGATTAAAAGGCAAAAAACAAACGCAAAAATAGATAATAATGGCAACCGGCAGTGCTGGGTTACTTTTATTTTGCGGGAATGGTCATCACGTTTCTTTCCTTTTTTGTATGATTTGTCTGGCTGAAGATAGGGTGTATAACCATAGGTTATGTATCCATCAATAACAAAATCTGGACCCTTAATTTAGAAAATCCAGATCTAAGGATGGAAAATTAAGGATTATTTTTATGTTTCCTAACTTTCTTAATCGGCTCATATCTTTTTCGTTTTAACTCGGATTTTAATTTTTTTTGCACAGATGGAACGAGTTCATCGTGCTCTACCAAATGAGAACAATTTTCAATATTTTTTAGAAAAAAAAATTCTGGCCTCTCGGTACCAACTGCATACCATATGGTATCTTTTTCGTTTTTAATTCGTTTTTGAAAAAGTTTGCACAGAAGGGACGAGTTCATCATGATCTATTGGATCTACAAATTTCTGGGTGAACAAATTACAGGACCAAAAAATACCACACAATACCATACAATACCATCCTAGTACGGGGTGGTATTGTATGGTATCTTCTTCGTTTTTTAATTCGTTTTTTAATTCGTTTTTGAAAACGTTTGCACAGAAGGGACGAGTTCATCATGATCTATTGGATCTATAAATTTCTGTGTGAACAAATTACAGGACCAAAAAATACCACACAATACCATACAATTCCACCCTGGTATGGGGTGGTATCGTGTGGTATACAATGTTAAAAGTCGTAAATGACAATTAATATACTTCTACTATCATGTATTCAACCATCCTACAGTCTTGGTTTGTTCATACCACCATGGTACGTTTTTCAAACCATAGGTATGCTTTTATTTCAATACCAGTCAATACCATATGGTATAGACTGGTAAAAAATTACACAATCTTTTTTGTTCGAAAAATATATTAAAGTGGATATCATTTTGAAGAGCACAATTAATCTGATCTAACTGTGCAAAAAAAAATTAAATTTTGACTTAAAATGAGTGAGAAATCGTCCATCAAAGATTAAAGAGGGGAAAATTAAAGGCTTTCCAGGAGAGAGAGGATGCTGATGTGGGTTGGTTACTCACCATAAGGTTACTGACCTGATCCGTTCCCGATTTGTCTTGCTTTTCCTTTCCATTTTATCGTGTTTATTTTTTATTATTTAATAATTCTACTTAATACCCATTAAGTAAAGGTTACGAAACATAGTAATTTCTTACTTAATAGGTAAATCAGAAGCATTACATGAGACTTACGTAATGACTTAGCACTTTACGTAATGCGAGGTTAATACTCATTACGTAAAGGGACCTTCTATTACGTAATGTTTCCATAATGACATTTAACAACTCTTATGTAAAATACACATCCATTACACAAAGGTTACGCAACGATAGTTATTTCTTACGTAACAGTTAAATTGGAAGCATTAAGTAAAGCTTTCGTAACGACTTAGCACTTTACGTAGTGCGAGATTAATACTCATTACGTAAAGGGACCTTCCATTACGTAAGGTTTCGGTAATGACATTTTACAACTGTTACGTAAAATACACATCCATTACGTAAAGGTTACGTAACGATATTTATTTCTTACGTAACTGTTAAATTGAAAGCATTACGTAAGGCTTTCGTAACGACTTAGCACTTTACGTAACACGAGGTTAATATTCATTACATAAAGGGACCTTTCATTCGTAAGATTTCCGTAATGACATTTTACAACTGTTACGTAAAATACACATCCATTACGTAAAGTTTACGTAATGATAGTTAATTCTTATGTAACAGTTAAATCACAAGCATTACGTAAGACTTCTGTAATAA